AAGATGGCGCCAGCAGTGTGCACGGCGCTCCGTCTCCCTGCTCTATTTTGCATAATACTCATTGTATGGATCTGTTTTTGCTGTTCCAATGGATCTGCGATGCTTGTGTATGACCGTCAAACATTGTTGAACATTCGAGCATCTCACGATGCTTTCTTGCAGAACTGTACAGCTAGACAGTCTTCATGTCCTCCACCGCCACTCCTCGCGTCTCTACCGGGCGTTCTGCGCACACCTTTTGGTTCGCCCCGGAGGAGACGCTCCCGCAGAAGAAGTAAGCGTGGAGGTATTTTGATTAAAATCAGAGCTTACCTTCGATCCGGAAAGAAAGGCGGCTATGGAAACCCAGCTACGTCTCGGGGAAGTGAGCGTTGTCTCGTCCCCGTATTGCCCAGTGGTATCCAGGAGGGGCATCAGCTGATGCCGTCGCAATTCTCTGAGTGGCTCCGCACCCGGCGTCCCAGAGCCGCTAACCACCGCGGCGTCAACCAGGAAAACCTTCGCTCGCTAGCACGGACTTCTTCACCAAAAAACGTGGATACACTTCGCATGGCACTGCTTAATGTCAGGTCGCTGGCAAACAAGACCTTCGTACTCAATGATTTCTTCGTTTCCCAGCATTTGGATATCATGTTTTTGACAGAGACATGGTTACGTCCTGGTGAGTCTTCAGCTTTCTCTGAACTTCTACCTCCTGGCGGTTCGTTTTTTAGCTCTCCCCGTACCTCTGGAAAGGGTGGAGGGCTAGCCTCTGTGTTTAAATCCAGTCTTAAATGCCGACAATGTCCAGCAACAACTTTCTCAAGCTTTGAATTACAGTTGATTGAAATACAGAGCACTGTGCCCGTCCTGTGCGCGCTGGTATATCGACCTCCAAAGTTTAACAAAGACTTCATTGCAGACTTTTCTGACTTTGTAGCAGGAACTGTTCTTAAATATGATCATTTTTTAATAGTGGGTGATTTTAACATACATGTTTGCTGTAACTCAAAACCTCTGGTAAAGGACTTTTTAAGTGCCATCGATTCTTTTAATCTTACACAGTGGGTTAATGGCCCTACTCATGAAAAGGGCCATACACTTGATCTCGTGTTGTCTCATGGTTTAAATGTAGGCATTGATAATCTTTGTAGTACGCAGATATCGGACCATTTGCCAGTTTTGTTTTCACTAACACTTCCGTGCACTCCAGCTAAACCGTGCGCCTTGGCGCGTATGCGGCGCGTCATGAGCCAGTCGACAGCAGAAGAATTCTCAAATGCTTTTACTCATCTTGTGCCCACACTGGACTTATCACCTTGTTCTGTTGAAGAGGCCACTAGCATGTTTAATTCTACATGCTCCTCCATTTTAGACCTGATTGCTCCTTTGAAAATGGTTAAATCTAAGTCTGTGTCTGAGCCATGGTTGAATGACTCTACTCGTGCTCTTAGGCGTGAATGTAGACGCGCAGAGAGGAGGTGGAAAAAGGACAGGCTTCACGTTTCTTTGGGCTTTTTGCGAGACTGTTTATCAAATTATCAGAAAGCTGTGAAGTGTGCTAAAGCTGAGTACATGTCAAACTTGATTTCAACAAATCGTAACAGACCCCAAGTTCTGTTTAATGTCTTAAATAGACTTGTGAATCCTATTGACTCAGACTATGCTGTACATTCACAAACATTGTGTGAACATTTTCTGACATTTTTTGTTGACAAGATAACTGCTATTAGGGACTCAACCTCTTCTTTCAAAGTGGTTGATCCCTCTGTAACTTCTGTGTGTTCTGTGGTTTTTGAGCATTTTGAACCTGTGTCCCTTAGCGACCTCTCTGATGTTGTGCATAAATTAAGAGCTTCTAATTGTCCGCTCGATTGTCTCCCTCCTAAACTGCTCAAAGATGCTTTGGGCGCGATTGGGCCTCATATACTGGCAATTATAAATTCATCACTGACATCAGGCTGCGTTCCAAGTTCCTTTAAACATGCTGTTGTTCAGCCTCTGCTTAAGAAGCAAAACCTTGACTCTGAAGTCCTGGCAAACTACAGACCAATTTCTAAATTGCCTTTCTTATCAAAAATCTTGGAAAAACTGGTTTTTGCACAAATACAATCTTATCTGGATGCAAATGGCATTTTAGAAAAATTTCAATCTGGCTTTAAGGCACGTCACAGCACTGAGACTGCACTCTTAAGAGTTTTTAATGACCTTATTTTAACTGTTGATTCAGGCTGCTCCACTGTTTTAGTGCTTTTAGATTTAACTGCAGCATTTGACACTGTCAACCATGAAATATTGCTTTCACGCCTCAAAAATCACGTTGGCATTATAGGTACTGCCTTAAGTTGGTTTAGATCGTACCTTGAAAATCGATCTTTTGCCGTCCACCTGGGTCCTTACGCTTCTGGAGCTACCCCACTAAGCTGTGGTGTGCCGCAGGGCTCCATTTTGGGCCCCCTATTGTTTTCAATGTATATGCTGCCCATTGGGTCAATTTTTAGAAAATATAAAATTGACTTTC